TTGTTTCGGTGGGTGGAAAGCCGAGAAAGGCGTCCTACTGCACTCAGGCCAAGGCCAAAAGTCGAACTTTTCATGAGACGAACCGAGCTTAGTGAGTCAAGTGTGTGACGTCTGGCTCACTTAAGTTCGTCTGCACGAGTTTGGATCGTCCAACACGTTCTATCCGTTTCGTTCCGCTTCTGTCGACGGATACAACGTCCGTCTGAAGATCTTCTCCGGAACAAACGTCGATCTACACATGCGACGAACTCAACTAATAACTTAAAAATTTGTATCGATAATGTATATTTAGCCTAGTTCAGGATACAATTTATTTCTGATCTGCTTCAGTTGATTGGTTCGACTCGTCCTAAGTCCTACGTCTCACGCAACAAATGATCTTCACTTAATTTAAGTCGACACAAAAGAGAGTTTGGTTCATCTCATGAAAAGTCCGACGTTTGGCCTAGGCCTCAAGGGGTAAGATTATTACTGGCTAAGTCAAATCCTGTATTTTGCCTCTATCACAAAAAACTTAGTCTCTCTCCTCCGCAGAGGCCTCTTTGTGTTGTAGAGAGGCTGGGGAGAAAAAAGGAGAAAGCGCGCAGGGCACAATGGGAAGGGGAAAGAGAGAAGAGGGGAGAGGTCTTTTACCTCTTCCCATCGTCCCCCGCGCGCTTTCTATTTTTCAATTATTGCTATTTTTATTGGGACACCCAGCAAGAGCCTCTGCAGGGGAGAAGGCAACCTCGTAATTAAGGACCACCAAAATGTTTTCGAAGTGTTCTCCTTTCAACTCTAGCTTAAACTCTCTTGTAAAATGTTGTAACGGTTACTCACCCGTCAGTAAACATTCTTTCTAGTTTGTTCTTATTTATATTTCTGTTACAAATTCAAATTAATAATGGTATAAGACTGANCGTCTCACGCAACAAATGATCTTTACTTAATTTAAGTCGACACAAAAGAGAGTTTGGTTCATCTCATGAAAAGTCCGACGTTTGGCCTAGGCCTCAAGGGGTAAGATTATTACTGGCTAAGTCAAATCCTGTATTTTGCCTCTATCACAAAGAACTTAGTCTCTCTCCTCCGCAGAGGCCTCTTTGCGTTGTAGAGAGGCTGGGGAGAAAAAAGGAGAAAGCGCGCAGGGCACAATGGGAAGGGGAAAGAGAGAAGAGAGGAGAGGTCTTTTACCTCTTCCCATCGTCCCCCGCGCGCTTTCTGTTTTTCAATTATTGCTATTTTTATTGGGACACCCAGCAAGAGCCTCTACAGGGGAGAAGGCAACCTCGTAATTAAGGACCACCAAAATGTTTTCGAAGTGTTCCCCTTTCAACTCTAGCTTAAACTCTCTTGTAAAATGTTGTAACGGTTACTCACCCGTCAGTAAACATTCTTTCTAGTTTGTTCTTATTTATATTTCTGTTACAAATTCAAATTAATAATGGTATAAGACTGACCAGATTCTAACAGACCATCTCATTTACATTATCCTATTACTTTATGTTAATTGGCCTCCAGGCCTAATCTTGGAGTTAAAATTCTTTTAAAATTTGCAAATGCTAACAAGGCTTGGATGTCAAATATGGGAGATGGTATCACTGGTATCTAAAGGTCTATTCAGTCTTAAAATTATAAGATCAATCCGCCTCATTGATGAAACGGGCAACCGATCCCCGATCACACTTTGATTAGTGTATGATTACAGGCACTATAGTATTAAAATCAGTATTAAAAAAAACAACTTAAGTTCAGCTGTTCTAACACAGCACACCTAATGATGCTAAATATCAAATTAGTAATGTTGCAATTTTAAGAACTTTTATAACAATACGTTCTTGTGTACCCATATGTCATTTATACTTGAAGCCACGTGATTTCCGTACTCAAATCATTAAGATACAATATCATTGGTGACGACTTACTCCTTAATTTTTGGCACGAAATTTCAGCATTAACTTATCATTTTACATATGAAATCACAAAATTACCATTGCAACATTCCCTACGTCTCAGTGCTAAGATGGCGTCAAGGTTTTAAAATTTTAAGAATGAAGAGGTCAGGGCATTAAGAGACTCCTTAATATAATTTAAAAAACACAAACACACAAATAAAGAGCACATCATGAAGGATTCTACCGGGGGTTTTGTCGAAACATTATGAGCATTATGAACTTAAGCCAAAATTTAAGCTCTAAACTTTTCAGTGTGTGGAGTTCCCGATCGTTTCGATAAACAGGTCAAAAACCCCTAATTGTGAACGCAATTTCCTTTTTGTCACCCATGATATAAATATGGTTTACTAGTAAAATTAGGGAATAATTTCTCTTGCGTTTTGTCCAAATCCTAATAATTTCACTCGTCTTTAGAATTTGGACAAAACGCAAGTGAAATTATTCCCTGATTTTACTCGTCACCATTTCATTACACCTACCAGTATAAATATGTTCACGCTGTGCCATAGCACCTAAATTTTCCCAGAGTGTGGTAGCCTTTTTCGAACCCACCGTGATCAGCGAAAAAGAGTTGTTTTACAGGCAGCGTCGTCTTGTCAGTCAGCAAACCGCTGTCTTCTCGCCATGCATGGTCATTCTTATCACAATTACAGCCAAGGCTGGAGTCTGCGCATGAGTTGGTCATCCCACATGCGCACTTACCACTGCCAGGTGATGCTCCACCCCAGTACTTCATCTTTTTAGAATCACGAGACACCCACCTGGTGTATGGCTCGTGTAACCACATAACCGAATGATAGCACTCATACTTGATAAACTGTTGACAGTGTGAGGAGACTCTGGTGAGACTCGCTAACTGAGGCAAACTCGTTCCCGTGTAGTGAACGTTACACGATATTCCTTGAGTCGCGTATGTCCTGTTCTCACAGTCGTGACTGATGACTGTCACGCCAATTCCGTTCTTTTCAGTCATGTCACAATAAACAGAAAACGGTGCCAGACCACCCTGGCCATCAGGATCAATGACATAATTTCCGCTCGCACTCCTAACACGTTTTCTTATCGCAGAACAGGAGGCAGGTGGTATAAATGGAGAATTGATTTTGACTTTAGCTTTTATTGTTTTCACAGCGTTAGTCGCTCTACAGGTGTAAAATCCTTGGTGCGATTTTTTAATGTTTTGAATCACAAGTGTTCCATTCTGTAGAACAAAAGATTCCCCTGGAAGTGAGGACAGTCCATCCCTTGTCCAGGTTATTCTCGGTCTTAGGTCACTCACGGCTACACAGGATAGATGGAGACTGGAGCCAATAAATGGAGTCACCTCTTCAGGGGGGCGGAACTTGAAGCGCAGAGGAGAAAATACCATAAGTAGAGCTGTTCCTACCGCTGATCCCAAAATGTTCTCTGCCTCGCAAATGTATAGGCCTCCGTCTTTTCTCGATACATTGGAGATTATCAGTGCTCCATCTCTCATAACAGTTCTTTCTGAAGGTAGTTCATCCGCCGCTCTTGACCACGTGATCTTGGGTTGCGGCTTACCAGTAGCAGTACAGGCCATTGTAACGTTTTGTTTCTCTTCGGCCATCAGTCGATTAGATGCCAAATAAAGTTGAGGGCCATCTGAAAGGATTAAAAACAGAACCTTTCTTTTATCCAGTGCAGAACAAACGACGCTGAGGAAACATTACGTGGAAAAAAATACGAACAAGCAAATTCTATGAGAGAGATACCTTTCTTCGATAGCTTTGATTTGACTTCCATTGGGCGGGTCTCAACATAATTGTAAAAACAGCTTACCTTGCTTTAATTTAGTCATCGTCTTTTTCTTCTTGTGTCGTTTTTGTGTGTGAGTGTTTAACCATCGAAGGTTTTTTTTAAATTTCACTGAGTTGTCTTTATGTTATTATTCGATACCATATCTAGATTTAAAATCGGTTCTGGCAAATCAGAATATTTTGACCATTTTGCAACAGAAACACTGTGCTAACGCTCACTGCTTACATTTCTAACTAGGACAACCTGCGGTTCTGCGACAAAAAATGCTTGCGGCCCGAGGAGGCGACTCCTCAGCACTTAAGGCTTGACTACCCAATTAAATATGTATATTGTGTAAAATGCCATTTTAATCGGTTTGCTTCCATCAGTGATCCTGAAAAGTAAACTACAAATGTGGCTCAACGAAAAAAACACGTAAAACGTAGTTTCAAATAACACGTGACATTGCTTCGTCAATGACGTCACAAAACACGTTTTCCCAAACGGGGAATTTTCACCACCAAAATGTTAAATAAACAGTGTAAATTGTAAATTCGCCTTGTATGATTGGAAATGTTATTTATCCTATTAGCTGTTTAACTAATTAACAAGTCACGTGACCCTTCCCTCTTTATTTACCGATTCCTATATATCGTAAACACACATACAAGACGAATTTTTCAGAACCTAAAAAAACTTGTTGCTCTACCATTATCCTTTCCCCATTTTAGAGTAAACATTTTGACCGTTAATTCTCAGTTATAAGTCACGTGACAAAAATTTGAGCTTCTAAAATGTCTCACATTGCTAAGGCCACTAAGCTACATTAAATGTAGTCCCATTTTCAGGATTATTGATACAAGCAAACCGTTCTAAGTAGCATTTTATCAAAATATGCACATTTAGGTAGTCATGCCGTTAAGTGGCATGAGTCCCATATAAAAGTGACGGGGATCCTCATCGTCTCGCTTAGAGGTGTAAATTGCAGATTTTGATCTCACCTCGGGTGTTTGTGAGGCAAATTCTCTATTCAAGTATCGCTGACAAAAAATGCTGTGATGTCTGTTTTAGTATGGTCTCCTTTAAGGGTCAGTTTAAGCTTGAGCCACACCCACATTGGTCTTCCCTAGGAGTTCAATCTAATTTTCCGACGAGCATGCCCGTCACTTTTCTGTGGGAGTCCCCCCCGGGGGGTGGGAGGTGCCTGCGGATACCATTATCAGCACAGTCACGTTTTGCTCACTTAAAAACCTTTTCTGTGTGATTAAGCTTAGTCCCCGTTTGTTGAAAGAAAAATTCTAAAGTCCTACTCAAAGTATAACTTAACTTACACTGAACTGTGAGATTCGCTGTAGAGTTGACGCTCCCAAGCAAATTCTCAGCTCTGCAGCTGTAAACACCCTCGTCTCCAGGTCCAACGTCCTTCACAATCAGAGCACCACTAGACTCTACCATGTGACGTCCCACAGGAAGCGATGAATTCATCTTTGACCATGTGACTTGTGGAGTTGGGTAACCGTCCGCTGTACATTTTAAGACGACTATCTGACTTTCATTGACTGTTGATTCAACAGGCCGTTCCAGAAGAACTGGAGCCGAGATGGACAGACCCGGTTCACCTTTTTCGCCTTTCTCACCTGGTGGGCCTCTACGTCCCGCGGGACCAGGATCACCCGGAATTCCAAGATCGCCTTTTATACCCATTGGTCCTGGAGCTCCCCGTGCACCCGGTCTCCCTCGGGTTCCTGGTTTTCCCCGTCGTCCTCTGCTCCCTTTTGGTCCTGAGCGGCAGAGCTTTTCATTTTTAGCGCAGATTTGATTTTGCAGCAGACGAAGCTCTTCTTTGATCACCAGTTTTACTTCACTAGATATTTGTGCCGATATACTTTGTGAGATGTTCTCTGATCCCCGTTTATGTCTTGAACTTGCATCTCTCAGTCCTTGAACGTAAATTCAAGAAGTCAGTTTTAAAAATGATCATGGTATAAACAGAGTTCTTTTATAATTAATAGCCCCATAAGAAGTACAAGTTTTCGAAAATAGTACAGTCTACAGATGCCTGCGAATGTAGAGTAAATGCACACTAATATCTTTGTCCTCTAAAAATACAAATTGTTTAAGCGCATCCGATGAGCATTATCGGAAATTCACTGTACTTCTCTCCTGCAAGGTGACAATCAAACAAATACATTTACGAAAAAGAACCTTAAATTAGCAATCATAAACTAAGACTTCCGAGCGACGGCGAGTATTGCGATTAGAGGCGAAGAGTAGTAAAATACCGCTATTCCGAATTCCTGAATGAATGTTACTTCATTTAGCCTCACCTTCCAAATGGCTGTTTCTGCCTACTTGCCATCTTCCGTTCTCTGAGTTCTCCTGAACTTTTCGACGGATTTCTGCCTCCATTTCAATGAAGAATGTTCCACAGTGTGATATCAATCGATAATGTTCTCGTAATCTGAGTTCCACGTGAATTATTGCGATACAACATGACATAGACAGCAACAAACCTGACGTGGAAAGCAATCTGTCTAGTTTTCTTCCCTCGTTCGTCTGCTTTTCTTCTCTACTCTGATGTCGCATGGTCAACGGCTCAATGCTGTCCTTGGGACAAGACTTAATCGAAGAGAATGAAATAGCCTTAGGAACGAGAGCGTTTATTATGAACTAGTCTGAAGGGACGGCTAAGAAGGCTAGGGATAAAGCGATTGTCTCCTCACTATATACATGAACTTACCTGTAACCCTCAATGGTGTAAGTGATACTGTGGAATGCATCTTTAGTTGGCTTTTATCATTGCCAAAGGAAATCTTGGCTATTATACCTATTCGGTGTCAAGCATCTGGAAACGTTTAGTTACAAAAAATAGAAATTGAGTACTTTACAGTAGGAACAACAAAATCTTAACCTTTACACTTATTCACTGTCATTTAAAAATTTGTGGAATGTTTGACTGGAAACTAATTAAACTCCCACTCGTCCAAGAAATCAATACTCTTTTTGCTGCTGCTGTTGTTGGCGTTGCTTTTGGCCAATGTCATTTGGTTTACTTACATATTTTTTTTTCATTAGAATTTACTATAATAGGCAGTTCATCTCTGTGTTTTGGGAGTTGCAATTATAACCAAGTGACCTTCCATCAGTGACCATCTTATCCAATTTTAAGCATCTTCCTATCAAAACAGAGCAACACATCTTTTTTGTTACCGCGGATTAAAGTTCGCTCTTATTAAAAGGACACAAAAACCTTTCTTGAAAAAATATTAATTACGGCTCCAGTGAATCAGTTAGTAAAATGCCAAGTAAAAGGCCAAGTTTGAAATCTGAAACAAAGGCTAGGATTGAAACAGAATTTTGAAACGATCTTTGATGATAGTTTAGCGTTCTGTTTTTGGATTTTTTTGTACTGACAGCATAAATCATGAAACGCTTACTCTATTCAGCTCTTCGGCTGAGCTAGTAATCCCACTTTGACATTTACCGCTCAAAAGCTGTTTTATTCCTTTGCCTCTTAGAAGAAACGTCAGAAGTAATAAAAGTTAATGACAGCCCTCCTTTACTAGTATGTATACCGAAAATTGTTAAACTTATCAGGAACGTTAGACTTAGCAGAAGAATCGTTAGACTTAGCAGGAATTTAAACCACAACAAACCAACAAACTTATAGTAAATATTTAAGAATGCGGAACATCTCCTGCTGGGAAACGCCACCCTATAAAAACAAATTTCCACATTTTACAGTAAGAGTCTCCGGGCTTTCCCCTCTTTTTGCAGCTAGAATTACCGTGCAACTTAAGTTCAATATGCTGCAATCTTTACGTAATGACAGCGGAGAAGTGGAAAATGATGGGGAAGAAGATACAAGCTAAAGAGGTCTACACTATTTTTTATAGGAATCTTTTATAAGAATAAGAACGTTCAGCCTAAAATTTTTCAAAATATTAAAAACATGCTAAGGACATACCAATACCCGAGGCTCAGGGAAGAACAATTTATTTTCCAATGCTTTTACTTTCCTAAATCCAGAAAATCTGCATTACATAATGCCTTTTGTCAATTCGTGCGTTCCTACGGTTGGGAACTTGTCATCACAGCTTTGCTTAGGGGTGGAAACATTTGTCACTGTTGAATTTTATTTTCCTCATTACTTATGAAAACGAAAATGTGTAGAAAATCGATTTTTTTAGAAACAAATCGATGACAATTTCTAAGGTCCATCGAAATGACGTGAAAATGTTTTACGTGGAACCTGGAGCAGCAGGCGAGTGGTTTCACTGCAATTTAAGAACTTCTTGAAGTCATTTCTATGGTTGATAAGAGTATTGAGACCGTGGAAAATTTCCGTCGATTTTTTTTACAATACTAAAAACATTGAGAGTTTTTGACGCCCCTTTCCTGTGAAGGTTCTTGGAAAATCGCGCGTCTGAGAACTCGAGAGAAAACTAAACTGCGCCATCATTACGTCATTTCCATGGTTTACACTGAGACCTGATACTCTCATCGACCATAGCTCTGTTATTGTAAACGAAAACAAAAAAATCGAGAATCGTGGTTGGACGACTTAATCCTCTGAGACTATCTAGACTATCCGGCCGTGGATGAAGTCAAATTAAATCAGAAGAAAAACGGCATTATGCCAAAAAAAATGATTTTTTAGTAAAACTTATGAAAGTCATAGTAATCTGTTCACTGAACTCTGCGAAGAACCGATCTCAGTACTGAAAAAGAGAAAACTCACTGTCATAGACTTTCAGATAAATAAAAATGGAAAGATACAGCAAATTAGTTGGCCACAGAGTGATCGGCGTCGCTCTGCGCTAGTAAGAGAGATTCAAGGTATAAGAGACTCAGCTTAGATTGAGGACTGCATGTACGTCGGCGTCTATGAGAGGCCAAACAAATTTATTGAGAAAAATGCTTGATTTTAATATTCATGTCAATAGTCTTATTGGACTTGCCTTTTTTCCAAATCATTTTTTCACAACTTATCCTCATCAAAGGTGGTTGTGAAAGATATGGCCTACAGTAGGATGGAGGACGCGTGATGTCTTGTAATCCTGAACTGCAGTACAAGATGGCGATTGTTTCCATGGTAACAGATGATCAATCTCACCCTCAGCATTGCCTTGAAAAATACCTGCCATTAGCCAAATTTCAAATTAAAACAGTTTTTACAAAAAAACGACGATTTTGTCGGTTGTTGGGTAGAATTGCTCGGGTTATACTGTAAGTTGAAGTTTCGCATGCTTTGCGAGTGTTGATCATGGCCTTTCGCGGAACTGAAAGTGCGCGACAACTTATTGATAAATTACTAGAGACCGTCACTACCACATCGCAAGATTTTCTCAATGGCAAAGTTCAGGCCTATTTCAAGACGGCCTTTGAAGATTTATGGCAGTGCATGGGACCGAAAGTGAAAACTCTAGTTTCAAAGAATCCCTCGTATCAGGTCTGGGTTACAGGGCATTCTGTTGGTGCTGCCTTAGCGTCCTTGGCGAGTGCTTGGCTTGCTTATTACAACATCGCTGCACGTCAAAACATCCTCGAGTTGGCGACTACAAAAACGCTCTGCAACACGATCAGTTAGTCAACAGCAGTTGGAGGGTTGTTAAATTTGACGACATAGTTCCTATTCTGCAACTCTTGATCCTACCAGCCATAAAATGCGGCCCCTATCACCACTGCGTGGAGATGTTTTACAGCGAAAAGGCCATCAGTGTGTATTCTACACACAGAGAATGTTATGGAACAACGCACGACGAGGACAAATCATGTAGCCGCAGTAAACAACCTTTCTTAAGTTTACCAGAATCCATTACGCGAAATAAAAATTACTTAAAGATTACATTTGAAAAATTTTGTAAAGAATCTTCGAACTTACAAGAAAAGGTGTTCCACTCGAAAAGAATGTTTGGTGGCGGATCCAGGGGAAGGGTAGAAATTATACCAAAGGGTACCTTTTCAGTCAAAAATGGCAAATAAAAGAGTAAGGTTTAACCACCGGGCGGAGCTTCCCCCCCCCCCCCCCCCCC